AGCCGTTTCCCCCCAACTAGAAGTCTCAGAAAGGGGGGGGGGGGGGGGGGTGTGCAGGGCGAGGAATGTGGACAGGCTTATCATTAACGGTGGCCTATTTTTACATCAACACTATGCCCACGCTTTTTCAGCAGAGGAAAGAAGGATGGCAGCTCATCTGAGTTCCCCAGTCCTTAACTCCACATACAAGGTCTTAGCATGCAAAGGGAATTGGTGGGAGCAAGATTTGTAAAACAGGCTAGTTTAGTAGTCTACTGATCATCTTCAGAACAGGCAGTCAGTTCATGATCTTTTCACTAGACTAAACAAAAGATTTGCCTCTCTAGCCTTCCTATCTCCAGCCTTCAACTCATCTTTCCAGTTATTTTCTATATCCACTCCAGTTTCTCAAGACCTCTTTAAAATTACAGGTAGCAGAACTTGGTATGGTATTTTAATACTGATTTAAAATAACAGAGATATTTGTTTTAGATAGGGCAAACTAATGCAAGTAGACAGTCAATAGTATAGCATAGTTTCATCTAAACCATTTAGGACTGGAAGTTTCACAACTGGTTTTCTAGCTATTCGCCTGTGTCCTTACCTGAATGTTGAGACTAAGTGTGTGCCACGCATTATCCCGGACACCAGAAAGTCCCTTCATTAATATTTCTTCTCCAGCTGTAAAACATACTTAAAGTTAGCAAAGTGTTACTTCACCCCTTTGCTGAAAGTGATAAACACAAAGCCAGAAAGGAAAATAATATCTATTTTTCAGAAGTGTTCAGGACTGACATCTTACCAATTTTAACTGCAGCATGGAAGGCTTAACATGCAAAGCTGGACTTTCCATTATCAGTGCATTCTCCTGTTCTGCCAGGACTGTTTTTCCACTGAAATCTCCAACATCCTTGGGAATCTGGCCTGAGATAAGGATTCCCTCTATTGAGATTATGTGTTCATGAAGTATGACAGTAGCTATTGCTCTGCTTGTTCTATAGATCTCCTTGTTTATGTATTAGAATTTTTTTAAATCAGAGGGTTTGAGTTCCCACATCATCATGTCGCTTAGTTCTAGTCAAAATTTAAGCTAAGCAAAAATTGGCTGTGACTGACACCTGGATGGAAGATCTGAAAAAAAATTAAGTGCTAAAAGTAGAGTCTTCAATTTTTCAGTAGACAGTTTTAGCTGCAAGTTAATTTAACATTCAGGCTTCCTTCTAGAAAAATATAAAGATCACTGAAAATAGCTGTACAGAAAAAAATTACATTGTCTAACAAGTATCTTAGTCTGAAATAATGAGATGGTTAATCAAAATCCTCTCATTTCATCTAGGAAAAATTATTTTTGACAGCCTGAGAAACTAATTGGGTAATGTTGCTATGTCTTATTAAAAAGAAATACTGGAGTCAATCCTAAACATGAGTATGTTTTTAAGTACAGCTGAAACTTGAGTTGTTATGGAGTTAAGAATTTGCAAAGTTTCCCTAGGAAGCACTCGTATGTTAAAAGCTAACATAAAGCCTTTTTTACGCTATCCATTCACGGCACAAAAGGAAAAAAAATAAAAATGCACAAAAAAAAACAGAACGAGGAGAAAGGGGAAACTACAGCTACCAAATAGAAGACAAGATGATTAGAGCACAATGGGTTAAATACATAGTGATGACAACTGAATGACAATATCTGAATGTTACTCATTTTTATCAAGGCTATCAAAATGACATGTCCATATGTCAGCATCCACTTTAGCAAAGAGCTGCTCACCTAAGTCACTAGTGACTCTGTAGGTGCCATCTGCAAAAACCCAGAAGAAAACTCCTTTGGTACGTCGAACATATATCCCACCATTGTCGACTCTTCCTGCAATAAACACGCCCCCATCACGTTGTTTTTCTATGTAGATGTCACAAGTGACTGTCATGTTTACCCTATAAGAGAAGTTTAGTGTTTTAACAAGCAAGGAATTGATTTTTTTTTTGAGCAGGCAGTATGTAGAAGAGTATTGCCTATGTAGTACAATAACCCTTTTGAGGAAAGATTTAGCAATCTTAATTGTGCCCTACAGGTGTGAGATGCATAGGACTGGCCTTGAGTGGTTGTTTCCCACCTGTGAGTCCACAGATTTTCTTAGCAAGAGCAATTCTTCTCAGAAGCCAACAAGAAAATGGAGCATATTATCAGCAACTTTCAATTACTTATTAAAAAACAAACAAACAAAAAACCACCACCACCACACACACACACAAAAAAAAAACAAAAAAAAAAAAACAAAAAAAAAAACCTCAAACAGCAGGTTTGCATCTCCACAGAAAAACTGTCAGGTCTGCAAAATGAAAAGTTGCTTTTAGATAACTAAATCAAATCCAAGATTCAAGGTCATAGCACCACATCTGCTAAAATTTGATCTTCATTTATTAGGATTTTTAATATAGGTCAAGTCTTAAGGAATACAGACCTCTTGCCCAAAAGCTAAAACAAGCTTTTTTAAACAAAATGTTCATATAGGTTGAAATTATCCACTTTTCCTGAGGTGATACTTCAGCTCCAGAGTAAAGCACCATGTTATAATGACAGCTGTGAAGGAGAATAAAGTGAAGAAATACCAGAACAATCGACACCTAGAACATTTACACAACTTCCCCTGCCCCAAAGTTGTGCTACAAGCCTCTTAACAACAAAAATCAAAAGTATTCTTTGCCTCTATTAATGTACATTCAAATTAAAAATCTATATCCCATGTCTGAAAGGGCTTGCAATATGGACACAGCCAAAAGGTCGCATTATTTAAGAAGTTTATCATTATCTACAATTATTTACAGAATTTGAAAAGACTCTCTATGACATCAGCTCAACTGATAACTAAATCATAAAGAATATTTATTTCAGCAACTCTACTCCCCACCTCTTGCATAACAGTAAGTACAACCTGAGATTTCATCCTAATGCAATGCTATTAGAAGTACCAGATTCTTGGATACATATTCCTTACACAAACAAGATTTGAGCAAAACTGGGAAGGTGGTAACAACAGACAAGGAGAAGGCTGAGGTACTCAACAACTTTTTTGCCTGTCTTCTCTGACAACCTCGCTCTTCACACCTCCCGAGTCAATGGACCACACGACAGGGACTTGAGGGACAAAGTTCCTCCTACTGTAAGTGACGATCAGGTTTGAGACCACCAGAGGAATCTAAACATATACAAGTCTATGGGACCCCATGAGATGCATCCCAGAGTCCTGAGGGAAATGGCTGATGCAGTTGCCAAGCCACTCTCCATGATATTTGAAAAGTCATGGCAGCCAGGTCCCTGGTGACTGGAAAAAGGGAAACATTGCACCCATTTTTAAAATGGGTAGAAAAGAGGACCCTGGGAACTGCTGACCTGTCAGCTTCACCGCAGGGCTTGGGAATATCACGGAACAGATCCTCCTAGAAGCTACACTAAGGCACATGGAGGACAGGGAGGTGATTCGAGACAGCCAGCACGGCTTCACCAAGGGCAAGCCCTGCTTGACCAACCTAATGGCCTTCTGTGATGGAGCAGCTGTACCAGTAGACACGGGAAGAGCTACAGATGACATCTATCTGGACTTCTGTAAGGCCTTTGACATGGTCCTCCACAACATCCTTCCCTCTAAATTGGAGAGAGATGAATTTGACGGGTGGAGTGTTCGTATAGATATAGATAACAAACTGGTTGGATAGTCGCATTCAGAGGGTAGTGGTCAATGGCCCAATGTCTAGATGGAGATCGGTGACAAGTGGTATCCCTCAGGTGTCCGTACTGGGACCAGTGCTGTTTAATGACACAGTCAGCGGGATCGAGTGCACCCTCAGCAAGTCTGCAGATGATATCAAGCTAAGTGGTACAGTTGACACGCCTGAGGGACAAGATGCCAACCAGAGGGACCTGGACAAGCTTGACAAGTCTGCCTGTGAGAACCTCATGAGGTTCAACAAGGTCAAATGCAAGGTCCTGCACCTCAGTTGGGGCAATCTCTGGTATGAATACAGGCTGGGGGATGATGTGATTGAGAACAGCCCTGTGGAGAAGGATTTGGGGGTAGTGGTACATGAAAAGCTGGACATGAGCCAGTAATGTGCAAATTGCAGCCCAGAAAGCCAACCATATCCTGGGCTGCATCAAAAGTAGTATGGTTGGCAGGTTGAGGGAGGTGATTCTCCCCCTCTTCTCTGCTCTGGTGAGACGCCCCCCTGCAGTACTACCTTCAGCTCTGGGGCCCCAAACACAAGGACATGGATCTGTTGGAGCAAGTCCAGAGGAGGGCCACAAAGATGATCGAAGGGGTGGAACACTTCTCCTATGAGGAAAGGCTGAGAGAGTTGGGGTTGTTCAGTCTGGAGAAGAGAAGGCTCTGGGAAGACCTTATTGCAGCCTTCCAGTACTTAAAGGGGGCTTATAAGAAAGATAGGGACAGCCTTTTTAGCAAGGCCTGCTGCTACAGGAGAAGGGGTAATGGTTTTAAACTAAAGGAAGGTAGATTCAAACTAGATATAAGAAATTTTTCACAATAAGGGTGGTGAAACACTGGAACAGGTTGCCCAGAGAGATGGTAGATGCCCCATCCTTGGAACATTCAAGGTCAGTTTGGACAGGGCTCTGAGCAGTCTGATCTAGTTGAAGATGTCCCTCCTTATCGCAGGGGGGTTGAACTAGATGACCTTAAAGGTCCCTTCCAACCGAAAGCATTCCACGATTCTATGATTTCTTTTTTGCCTCCCTATGTATTAAACAATAGACCCACACATATTTCTTAAGCCATTATAAAGAGACTGGAAGCAATGTAGAATGAGTTAAATAGTAATATTTTCAGGATACAGTTAGGTTCAATAAAACCACCAGAGCAAAACACTAACAGATTCAGGAGTAGAAACAAAAAGCTTTCAAAGGTCAAGATTAAAATCCAAATTTAAAACCAACTAAATAACCCTGAAATTTAATTATAATAAATTGCCACTGATGACTGAGGTCAAGTATCATTCCACAGAGAAATTCAGTGCAAGATTGGTTCAGTATTTCAATAGCATGAACTATTGGTTGAAAACATCTACCTAGGACAAGACGAGTCTTAAACTGAGGATGAAGCAAACAAATCACAGGGCCTGAAATTGAAGACTATCGTTATGAAAAGTCACAGATCAGTAAAACCTGAATAATCAGGAAGTAAGCTTGCTTTTGAAAACAAGGTGATAATTCAGAAAGAAATGGAACCAAAATGAAATAACATGAAGATTTTAGGAATCTCAGTACAGTAATTTAAGAATACATCCTGTGTAACTGTTATAGCAATCACTGAATATGATCTCCTCAATGAGCGAAAGTTGATTATATGGGGAATACGAGACTTTGCTTAAGAGGGCTGCAGAAGAAAACATCAGGTAACTGAAAAACAACCTCCAGCTACAAGATGGTGGTATTCTTCCAGGTTTCAGAGCAAAGTGATTCAATCACTTATCCAGGCCAGAAATTATAAGTGAAGCATGTTCTGAAAAAGCATTTGTGGGATCAATGATCCAATTGAAGTGAAAAGAACTTGATAGAATGGCTATTTTAAAGAACATATCAAAAGAACTTAAGCTAGATTTCCAAATAGAAGAAAAAGCATAAAGTTTATTATTACTTACTGTTACTAAACCAAATACTTAACAGGTTCTTTCCCAAATGCTTTTTAATTTTAAATAAACATTACAGTAAAATACTCCAAATTACCATTATCATAGCTCCTAGAAAGAACTGCAATCATAACCATACTCTTATCAAACCAGTAAATCTCAGTTACATTTACCCAGAAATAAAACTGATTTAAGTAGCAGTTGAATCAAATCCACGCAATTCTAGGAACTGCTCAGAAGATGGCAGTCTGCAACAAATACCACTGAATTAACTCCCAGACTATTTTATCGATATGAAATTGATCAAATCGCAAACAATCAAGCAAGACAATGCAAAATTAAGTAATTTAAAATTGAATCAATTTTTTTGTCCCATTTAAAAATGTATTGAAACGCACACTTTGAATTAGGATGTTGACTTGGTCTTTCTAGTATGTCAACACAGATCCATTATTCTGAAAAATCAGCTTGAACAAATGTGCCCACTAGGACATTAGAGAAAAAAAACATTTCCAAGACAGTGCAGCAGTGGGCCAAGGTACCAAGAGATGTAGTGTACTCTCTATCCTTGGATGTTTTTAAGACTCATTTAGACAAAGACACAATTATCTCTTAGAGCTGGCAATAGCCCTGAGCAGGGCTCAATGACTTTTGGAAGTCCCTTTAAATCATCATTTCTACATGTCTACAGAGAGTCTGAATGCAAAAGCCCTCTGTCCAAGAGAAATGAGGCTTGAGACAGATTAACTGATCATAACTCACACTGGTAAGGTGGACATTTCCCCAGATGTCACTAGAAAATAGTATTTACATACCACTGAAAATTTCCTATGAGACTGATGGTCTGGTCTGCGTCAGAAGCCCAAGTGATGGGTCGCTGAACCACCACCTGGCGGAGTGTGAACACATGATCTCCTGGGTCAGAACCATTTATGAAGTATTCAAATACACCTGTCTGATCTGCAAAATTTGGAGCTTCACTGAAAGGTGGATTACCTGTTCAGGAAATAAAATACATATCAATACCAAAACATTATTTTTCTTCTGTGTACTCTTGTTTTCAGGAATTTCCTCTGAAAATATTCTCCAGAATTCTGACTTTTTGACTTTAAAATGACAAAGCACAGTCTCCAAAACTGAAGTTCTGCGAGCTGGAAGGAGATTTTAGTTTTGGTTTTGTTTTTAAGCAGACCCCAGTTTTTGCAAACACATGAACACAGTAAATTACCTTCTTCCCGATCTTCCTTCCAAAAACTACTTCACTATGGTTATGAGCTATATTATTTGCACCAAGAATTTTAAAACTGTTATTGAGCATACAGTTAAGACACAGAATTAAATACATCTCATTGCAAGTGAAGTATACAGGTGTAAGCTGTTGAAGAAGCAGGTATAAACAAAAATGAAACACACATTCAGACTATTTCATGTTGCTTACATTAGAGGACTCAAATAACATAACCGTTATTGCCTTTCTACACTGAGACTATACCTGTGTATGAATTAAGTTTTTGGTGACTTACGAATATTGAAATCGTCTTTGTAACTTGAAGGAAAGGGCTGAGGTGGTGGAGGCTCTGGAAAACCACATTTCTGCCCTGTCTTGAGTGTGGTTAAAGTGTACACTTCATCCACATTTAGATCTAAAGAAAAACTTCCATTCCACACCTGGAATTAAAGAAAGCTCAAGCTGCAAAAATCAAACAACTAAATAACAAAATACTCAAGTTCCTGAATTAAAAGAGATCCTCTGAAGTCCTGATTTAAGGCAAAATTCCTTCTCCTTTCCTCAGCATTTAGTATCTCCAAGCTATTTTGGAAATCCCTTTCCCACAAACTTTTTATTACCTCCAGGTAAGCTCACATATAGCTAGTAAAATTGTCAAACAGAGCTAATAAAACATGCCGTAATTATGCCATTTAGACATGAAAATCCAGGAATTCCAGCACAGGAGGAAGAAACACCCGAAACTGCAGAGAGACTGTAATTAGAAGTGACAGACTTACCTTTACAGGATGGAGTTGCTGGAAAAGACTAGAGTTTCCAGATTCAAAACCAAGTTTAGAATGCCACACTTGAAAGGTTTCCACCATACACTACAATGAAACACAATATTAAAAAAAAAAAAAAAAAAAAAAAAAAATCACACAAAAAAAAAAATCCCTTGAGTATTCACCTTGAGAAATATCAGTCCTCTAAGTGTATCTAGTTTTTGTTATTTTAGAGCTGTTGATCACGTTAGAGGCTACCACTCTATTCAGCGAGTCATTACATATGGCTTATCTTTTTATAGATTATACGTCAATAAACCATTGTCCTAACATGCAGTAATGTTGCTTATAAAGACAGAAAGCATGGCAATCACACATGCAATCTTTAGCTTCTCTGTTACCAACAACTGTATCCCTTTGATACAAGTTCTCTGCCTAGGAGCAACCAGGTTGAAATAATCTCCTGCTAATTTTGCTTTAATGAGACCTTTAGTTGCTGGTTCTTTGATACTCATTTTTGAGCAAAGTACTTAGCTTACAGATCTCGAAACTTCTACAATACTATGGCATATCAACTACATTAGTTACAGATTTTAATCATATCCAACCCGTACAATTTTTTTTAGTTACCCAGACAAACAGCGAAGCAAGCAACCTACAGTTTGGTTTGGATAAGCAGTCTGATACTTTCGCCAAAGGGAGCTGTATATCAGAAGTGACACTCAACTACTTTTCCTAAGCAAACCATTTTATTGCCAAAAGCATTGTCCAAACTATCTCCTCCTAAATGAAAGGAAACTAATGCCACCAAAAATGAAATTCCAAATAAGTAAATGCTTTCAGTTTCTGAGAAGCAATTATCCAAATCAGCTAACAAAGATCCACTCCAGTTTACACTGCAAGAGTACTGTTCGCATTTCAGAGGTAAATTCAGTTCAGCAAGATTAAAAAAAACCAAAACCCCACAACTGGGAGATTTTCAGAATGTCTCTTCACAGGACAGAACAACATAATCTACAGTATACAATCTACTGCAGTTACTCCCCTGGAAAGCAGCTGATAACAACAAAAAAAGTCACAGCCATGCTGGCCAGTCAAACTATGTCAGTATGTCAGAGCACCCAGCCTTGGAATAAATCCTAAAGAAAAATCCGATTTGCATTTCTGTTGTGGGGAATTTCTTCTTCAATATACAGATGATTAGATTGGGAGGTAGTAATTCTACAAATTCAGTTATGACATTACATCTCATGGTAAAAGTGGAACTAGAATGCTTAAAACCTTGCCAGGTATGTAACAACCTCTAGTACTGGAGGTAAAGAACTCCAGTTTCTTGTTAACTTGTGTTATTGTCTTGCATGTATTTGATTATGGATAGCAATTAGTTTTACAAGACTGATCAGATGTATTCAAGATCTACTTACAAATGACTCTTTGAGGTAGAAAGTTGCTCTCTGAGGTGTCACACTGAAATGAGGCAGTGGAGGCCTAATACATTGAGAGTGATTATGAGTCTGAAGAAAAAAATAAGTGTAACATAAGGAACATACATTACTGGAAAGCATCACATAACAATGTTCATTAAAAATATACTGTATAAATTGAAATTAAAAAAGCAACATAGGATCAATTTGCAACTATTTATTTCATTGTTATCTTAATAACTGTGATTATACTAGTTTAATAATTTCACTTTGAATACTGCTGAAAAAAGCATGATTTAATTTCCTCCCAGAGTGTGTCATCAAATTAAAGCTAACTTGTGATATAAAGATGACATATACATTGGTCTCCAGGAAGATTCAACCAGCTATTCAAAGTTTAGATAGAAAAAAGGACCTCTAGCAGTCTCACTAACAAAGCTACAAGCATCAAAGAACATATACACCGATATTGAACTACATAAATCAAAACAGGTTCTTCATAACAAAGCATTCCCTTTATCTTTTCTAGTTCATTGGAATTGCTGATGCACATACCATAGTTTCAATGATGATGGTAAGGTTTCCTAGGCCATCTGTCAGAGCTACAAAACTGCCACCTCCTTCTAAGTGTCCATCCACTTGCAAATATGACCAGCCTGGCTGAGTAAATTGTGTTGTGTGTGCTGAGAAGAGAAAAGAAAAAAAAAAAAAAAAAAAAGAAAAAAAAAACAGAAGAAAATAATTAAGTCTTCATAAAAAAATAATACCATTTGTAGTCTGAATTAAATTTCTCTCTCATACACACTTACACAACAAAAACTTGATTTTGGGAAGAAAGTAACAGAACTTCCAAAACAAATTCTACCCATACAAGAAGAAAGATTAAAGAATTATACTAAGGCGCAACTGAAAACATCAGCATCGTGGCAGACGAAACAATTAAAATGATAGTGACAAGTTAGACAGGAAGAAAAAACTATTACACCAGTATATAAGTCAATCATGTAGATGCAGTATGAATATTAATTACAGTTTAGATTTTCCCAAATCTCTTCTTTTTTTTTTACCTTTTTTTTTTTTCTTTAATAAACAGTTGAGCCAGAGAAAGCACAGATGGGCATCTCCACGAGGAACAACTAAGTACATAAGGTTTTCAGCATATTAAGAGAGAGTACCAAAGAAGAATATGACCTAGATCATTAAAATCCTGAGCAACATGGAAACAGGAACGACTGCTCAGTTGTTCTGAACTGTTCATATGACAGCATGGCCATTTTCTTTTAATGCTTTTACATATACAGGTAACTAGCAGAAGAATAAAAGTAGGGTATTTGCCTTGTTCCTCCCTTATGGCACTGCATATGCTACTTGCTCTATGCAACTGTGACAAAGACAATAAAGTACTGGCTACAGAGTGGCCAGTGAATCCATGTGTCCATAGACACTATGTGACCACACGCCCCTTTCCGCAAGCACAAGGAAATGTTGACTTACACAAGCCAAGAATCTCAAGCAGATCAAGAGCACAGAGGTTCTTTGTTCCATTTTCACAAAGTGAGAGGTAATAAATGCCTACTTAAGGATTTAAAAAAAGAAGAAGGAAAGGAACTAGGAAAGCACACTAATCTTATGGGCACTTACTATTAAAATATTTTTATCTGAACAGCTATAAAAGGCAGTAGTTTATTCATTTCTGCTTTATCTAACTGTCAAGTATTAAGATTTCCCTTGCTATTAGATCTTTCTGCTTTCTATTGAAAGAAGTCTTTTTTTCTTCTTCTTCTTTTTTAAAATATTCACAAAACTTTCCACAAATTTACTTTAATTTTCTACCAAAAAATAATACACATAAAAAACACTAAATAAAGCCTCGGAAAATACAGTTGTGCTCTGTGTTAGACCACCAAACTTTTAACTGCAAACTTTTACCTGTAATCCAGATAGGAGCTTCTACTTTGTAGTGGCCACTCCATGGCTCTTGCGCTGTCATTAATCCACATCGACCAAAGGGCAACTCTTCATAATAACTAGCCACCAAGTTCCATGCAATGGTTCTGGAAGATAAAGAAGTTTGTTTGCTCTATTCATATGAGTAGTATTAGATGAATTTAGTAAAAGAATTCATTCCTCTTTTTTCTCCAACATACAAAGAAGTTTAAGGGGAAAAAAACAATAAAATCTTTCCAGCTAAAGCAGGAAAAGAAAAACCACAGGAGAGGAAAATAAAACAAATCAACTTCCAGTGTTGAGAACTTCGAGAACTTCTTACAAAACTGATGATACATTCTCTGGCTTTATCACCATAAAAAGTTGCACGTTAAAGAAAAGGCATACTGAGGGTTAAAGGTTAAAGACTCCATTCGTTGGTTTGGTTTTTTTTTTTTTAAGTTTTGAAGGGGAAAATAGAAGTTATCAAGGTTTACAGCTTTTTCTTGGGGTGTTGGTTGTTTTTCTGATTGGTTCATTGCTGCTGGTGGTGGTGGTAGGGTTTTTTGCAGGGAGGGCTTTGGGGGAGCGGTTAAGTATCACTTAAAAGCAAAGAAATCCTTTATCCATATAACTAATGGATAGAAAACAACTCTAACCAGCCATCTGCCAGGAGTTATTGCTATTTCAAAAAATTGTCAGGATACTAACAAGGTTAATTACTTCAGGTCTTTTGATTTGGTCTCCACTGAAAATCTTTTGTTAGGATTTTTAGCACTTAAGATCTGTACACCGTAAGTATGGAAATACAGCTTAATAAAGTAGTTATGGAAAAAGCAAAAGTTGGCATGCTGTTCTACTATTCATATAGATGACTGCAAAGGTCTCATTCTAAAGTCATTGCCGTAGATTTATCACACTACATATGCATTTCAGAAGAGATCCTGAAATCCTACAAAAAGGTGCTCTTAAAAAAACTCCCAAGTTGTAAACTCAACTTGCTCACATTAAACTTGTTCTGCAGAGTTTCAAACTTAGAAAAGCAACGTAGGGAACTCAATTTCAAAGGAAATGAGCTTAGCAGAAAGATAAGCTGTCTTT